ATATATTAACTAATCATAATATAAATCAAATGATCAGGTCGTAATATGTTAAAAATATATTATATTATTATTTATTATAATAAATTAACATAACACGTGAAAGAAATAACATTGTAAATTTGGCGTTTTCAGAGGGAAATGTTTGAAAAAAGCAGACGGAATGGAAAGAAAGCAAAAGAAAAAGTTAAGTTTTGGGCTATTTTGACGTTTGGGGGACCCATTCATTTGAAGTTTGGCTTAGAAGACCCTAGCCCAGAGGGTGGCAGTGGCAGATTTCGACGCCTACCCGGAACTTTACTCTCCCACTTGGCATTAAATTATCTGCCAATCCGCCATTGCCATTTCACTTCCTGACCCATACCAGTCACTCACCAGCCAACCCCCATCCCCCTAATGTCCAATATAATAAAACAAAACCCTTAATCTTATAAGATATATATATATATATATACATAAACAATCAATGCCCAGTCTATCTGTCATCATAAAGATTAAAAAACCAATTTTTTGATATTCACAAAATGATGGGAAGAAATGGTAAATGGGTGGCAAGTTTTAACCCTTTCGAGTATTACAATGGGAGGGGGGGAGGAAATTTGGGTTCTCAATTTTCCACAGGTTAAACAGATGCACAAGAAATTATGTATTGGATCTATCAACCCCACTTACAATCTAAAGTCTCTGTTTTTTTTGACAGTTTCTATATCAGCTTTGGAAGCCTAGCAAACACAAAATAAAAGAAATAAAATAATCAGTTTGGGAAACAGAGAACGGCAGCTCAGATCTCTCTTCAACTCTATGACAGAAGCAGAAAACAGATTGAGGAAAAAGCCAGAGACCCATGTCCGCAAATCCACTTGTTTTTGCAACTAACCCAACAAAATGAGGTGAGAGCTTCCTGTTTTTTTTTTTTTTTCCTTTGCTACGTTCTCAGTGTCTCCTTTATACTCTTTATCTTCTTTTGTATTTTTTGCTGATGTTATTAGGAGAACACTTCTGAATTTGCTTCTTTTCTTTCACATTCTTTTCCGTGTTTCTCCAAAAAGCTTTCCATATCATGGCAAAATGAAGAGTACACATCAATTCTAGTAGGTCGGATCTCATGGTCAAATGAACACTGCTCATCAGTTTGTCAACTTGCCCTTTCCGTGTCTGTTTCTGTTCCCTTTTTTTTCTCTTTTGTTCATATTCTGGGCAGTTCTTTCTTGAATTTTTGAGCTTTGAGAAAAGGCTAAACTTCAAGTTCTTAAAACTTATCAGTCATCTGGTTTCACACCCTGAATTGCAGTTTCTGGCAAGTATATGCTTTGTTTTGCCTTCATCTCAACTTGTAAATGTCAAATTTTCTTCCTTTTTCATCCAGTAACTTGTTATCTTAAAGCTTTAATGTTTTGTTATGGTCTCTTTGTATTCCAAAATCTGAACTTTGTTGAATTTAGGACTAGATAGCTTACTATGTCTTCAAATCTGCTTCCTTCAGAGCGACAATTTTGTGTTCCTGGCAACTTGATGTCAGTTTGGTGGTGCAAAAGAGTTGCCAAATAAGGTTTCGGGAGAAATTATGCTTCGCTGCTTCTTGTATAGACGGTAGAGAACCCATTTTTCTTTCTGTATATCCTCCTTAGTTTAGGGTCAGGAAAATTTCCTTCTTTTTTGTCTATCCTGGGTATTTTGTTGTTCTCTTCTAAGACCTTATTTTGGCTCAATTCGGAGTTTTCTAATGGAAAGTAGAGGTTTTATTCGTTTTCTGTGCTTTTTTGCACTATCTACCCTCTTTTTGTCTGAAACCTGTATGGCTAGCATTCAAACTGTTGGGACGATTGAACCGGGATTTCAAGGTTCTCAAATGAATTGGATCGACAATAATGGGGTGTTTCTTGTATCTAACAACTCAAAATTTGGTCTCGGCTTTGCCACTACTTCAGATGTCACATTGTTTCTACTAGTTATCGTCCACATGGAGACTACAAAAGTAATCTGGGCGGCTAACAGAGACTCCCCTGTTTCGAATTCTGATGACTTTGTGTTTGACAAAAATGGTAACGTGCTATTACGGAAAGGAGAAAATGTGGTTTGGACAACAAATACTGGTGACAAAGGAGTTTCTGCTATGGTATTGCAGGATTCGGGGAATTTGGTTTTGCAAGGGGATGGTGGCAAAGTAGTGTGGCAGAGTTTTGATCATCCATCTGATACCCTTATTTCAAACCAAGAGTTTAGAGAAGGAATGAGACTTGTTAGCAATCCTAGCGCCAGTAACTTGAGCTATATTCTTGAAATCAAATCAGGCGACATGATTCTTTCAGCAGGTTACTCAACTCTGCAGCCCTATTGGTCCATGGGGAAGGACACGCGAAGAACCATTAACAAAAATGGTGGCGAGGTCACCGTAGCATCTCTTGATGCGAATTCATGGAGTTTATTTGATGAAAGCAAAGTCTTGCTATGGCAATTTACAATCTCAGATCCTATTGATGCAAATGCCACTTGGATTGCAGTGTTAGGAAGTGATGGCTTTATATCTTTCTTCAATCTCCATGATAAAGGGTCCTCTACAACAACAAAAATTCCAGCAGATCCGTGTGGCACACCAGAAGCTTGTCAGCCATATTTTGTTTGTTCAGGAACTGCAGACAACACCAGGTGCCAGTGTCCATCAGGACTTGGCAATTGCAAAACAGGTATTGCCTCTCCCTGCAGTCAGGGAAAGGATGCTGTAGATCTTTTTGATGCTGGAACTGGGCTCAGTTATTTTGCACTTGCCTATGTTTCTCCATCTTCAAAAACTGATCTGAGCGGTTGCAAAGCATCTTGCCTTGGCAACTGCTCCTGTATGGCTGTTTTCTATGACAATAGCTCGAGGAATTGTTTCCTGTTTGACCATATTGGTAGCTTCCAAAACTCTAAACAGCAGTCTGATTTAGTTGCTTTTGTCAAGATGTCGAGCAATGCAAATGGTGCAGGGGATGGAGGTGGCAAAAAAGGTTTCCCATATGTTGTGATTATAGTTCTTTCTACAGTACTGGTTATTTTTGGCCTACTTTTTGTGTCATATCGATACTACAAGAAAAAGAAGAAAATGCCAGAATCTCCCGAAGAGACTTCAGAGGAGGATAATTTCTTGGGAAGTTTAACTGGGATGCCTACTCGTTTCACTTACAGTGATCTTCAGACTGCTACAAATAACTTCTCTGTTAAGCTTGGGCATGGAGGATTTGGCTCAGTATACCGAGGAACTCTTCCAGATGGAACTCAAATTGCTGTGAAGAAATTGGAAGGCATTGGTCAGGGAAAGAAAGAGTTTCGAGCTGAAGTTGGTATCATTGGCAGTATCCATCATCTGCACCTGGTCAGGCTGAAAGGCTTCTGTGCTGAAGGGAGCCACCGACTTCTTGCGTATGAATACATGGCAAATGGTTCCTTAGATAAATGGATCTTCAGGAGAAATGGAGAAGAACCCCTACTGGATTGGGAAACAAGATTCAATATTGCAGTGGGAACAGCCAAAGGGCTAGCTTATCTCCATGAAGATTGTGATGCAAAGATTGTGCATTGTGACATAAAGCCAGAAAATGTATTGCTTGATGACAATTTCCTAGCCAAAGTCTCAGATTTTGGCTTGGCAAAGCTAATGACTCGAGAGCAAAGCCATGTTTTCACCACTCTAAGGGGCACCAGGGGTTACCTTGCACCTGAGTGGATCACAAACTACGCAATATCAGAGAAGAGTGATGTTTACAGCTACGGCATGCTGCTGCTCGAAATCATTGGCGGAAGGAAAAACTTTGACCCTGCAGAATCTTCAGAGAAATCTTACTTGCCGTCCTATGCTTTTAAGATGTTAGACGAAGGGAAGCTGAGAGACATCCTTGATTCGCGGCTGAGTATCCAAGGAGAAGATGAGAGAGTTTTTACTGCTGGCAAAGTTGCATTATGGTGCATACAGGAGGATATGCATTTAAGGCCATCAATGACCAAAGTTGTTCAAATGCTAGAAGGTCTCTCCCCTGTTCCAAAGCCGCCAATGTCTTCCCCATTAGGTTCTCGCCTTTATTCAAATTTCTTTAAATCGATTACCATGAGCGGAGAGGGCACATCCTCAGCCTCAGGACCATCAGACTGCAACAGTGATGCTTATCTTTCAGCTGTGAGGCTTTCTGGTCCAAGATAACAATGGCTGAAGACGGAGGAGTTTGGTGCACTTGTTTCATAGATTGTATCATGTTTTAACATCTCATCTGCCCTGTATATTTGTTAGATTTATTATTCAAAAATTTTTGTACTACTAGCTATTAGCTGATACAAATCAAGCCTCAGGATCATCACTTTTTTCTGTATAATTACTGTTGATTATGACCAAACTTGCAAGACAGTAACTCTTAACATATCCTGTTAACAGTTGAAAACATCAAGCAAAAAGAAACTTAAACAAAAATGTAAGAAATTGTAATGTGGAGAAATTTTGACACTAATAGGAATGTCAATAGGTGTGGTATTCGTTATGTTAATTCGAACTTTATAAATAGTTTATTAATTTTTTAAATTATTACTTGAATTTAAATTTGAATTTTTTAAACACAGTTTGTTAAATGTGCATATTTATTAATTATCTAATTAAAATATATTTAAAATAATTTTATATATTATTAATGAAATTTAAATTAATAAATTAAAATTAGTTTCATAAAAAATAAATTAAAATTTAAAAATAATATTTAAAACAATTGATAAATTTTAATAAGTATTACATTAATGAAACTAACTTATAAATAATATATATAATTAAAATTTAATATAAAAAATTATTATTTATAATCGAATTTGAGTAACTTCTCTAACCTTTGACCGGTTGACAGCGGACTTCTTCAGGCCATAAACCAATCCAGTCTCTTGACTTTCTTGCTCCTGGTGAGCTCAACTGCAGCCAATCACCACCCTTGACCCTCCCAAAAAATGAAACCTTTTCCGCAGTGAGAACTTTCTGAACCGCTCATTTGGAACCGTCCGTAGAGGATGATGAGTTCATCGGCAACCTCGAGTTCCTCTCCCTTCCCTTCTTCCTCTACTTTCTCTTCAACTAAATTCAAATTCAAATTTCCCTCCCTTTCCCAACGGTCCTCTCTCCTAACGGTCGAATCTCGCGCCAAGCCATCCACTGCTTGTTATTCTACCATCCACGACACGTCAGGTGATGAAAGGAAAACAAGTGGTGGTATTAGTTTTAATCTTTTGAACTCATTTAAAAGAAGAAGGTCTTGGATTGCAGGACAAAATCGCCATTGCAGCTTGAGCCGGAGGAGAGGGCTGGCATTTACGGCAACGCTACCGTTTCTTTTTCCTCTGCATGAATTTGTGGGTAATGGTGGCGCTAAGGCAATTGAGTAAGTTCTAAGTTATGCAAAAAAATAAAAAAAAATCATTAATTTATTGGGTTTTTGAATTTACCTTTAAATTGTCCATTGTGGACGATGATCTTTATTGGTTTTGAAGGTCAGGTCAGAGCGAGTATCTGCGTATTAAGGAAGAGATAAGCAAAGTTGTAACCAAGGGGAAGGCTGCCGGTGTTCTTCGTTTAGTATTTCATGACGCTGGAACCTTTGAAATGGCTGAAAATTCAGGTACCAAAACTTGCCAAATTATTTATTAATTGGAATTCAGTAGGATCTGAGTTTGGGTTTGTTTTGATTGAAAAAATTTGAATTCTGTTCTGTAGCATGCTATGTTCCTTTAGTAAAAGTTTTTGAACCAGTGAATTTACTGTTATTTTTTATTGTTCATGCAGGTGGTATGAATGGTTCTATAGTTTATGAACTCGAAAGACCTGAAAACGCTGGCCTCAAAAAGTCTCTGAAGGCATTCTCTCCGTTTCTCTCTTTCTAATTCAGACAAAAGTTTTGTATTTATATGTACTTTTGGCTTTTGCTTTCCTCGTAATTCTAATGCATCGTTGTTTAGGTTCTAGAGAAAGCAAAGAAAGAAGTGGATGCAATACAACTAGGTTTTTCTTTCTGAAATATCAGATGAAAACATTTGACAGAAACGGATGGTATGTCACCATGCTAATATGTTGTGTATTTTTTTCCTTCGTTAGTATCATGGGCAGACATGATTGCTGTGGGTGGAGCTGAAGCAGTTTCTGTTTGTGGAGGTCCGAAAATCCCTGTTGCATTAGGCAGACTAGATTCTGCGTAAGCACCTAGCTTTGACCTTATAAAATGACATCGCTTAAGTAATACAGAACTTAGTATCTGATCAACTAGGTATGTAAGGATGTTTTTCCAAGATAAAAGCTAGAAACTGCCATTCAAAATGACTAAATGAGTATAAAGTTACTTCCTGACTCTTTATTATTACCTGATAATCTTTAACTTTTTAGTTCTTTGCAGCGTTAACTTGGAGCACTGTCTCATTTCTATGTACATTTTGTGGCATCTACTTGAGATTTTACCCCATTACTGAAAGGTAAATATTCAATGCAGGGAGCCAGATCGTGAAGGGAAGCTTCCCCAGGAATCTCTGGATGCTTCTGGCTTAAAGCAGTCATTTCAACGAAAGGGCTTCTCGTGAGTTTTTGCGAGCAAACATCCTTTTACATTTTTGTGTTTCACGTTTACATCTGTTTGATATCCATAAATCAATCTTCTATGATTTGAGCTGGATGTTAAATCATTGGCAACATCGCTTACTTTTGCCATGATATCTAGATTTTTTTTTTTCTCCATGATACATATGGATGGCTCTTCCCGTGAGAAAAATAATTTTTTTTCCCATAAGAACTAAAAAGTTTGGTTAAATATAAAATAATTTTCATAACATAGATAAGAAGTTTTGATAGCTATTGTCCATTTGAAATTAATGAATTCAGTACTTCATTGTAAACGTTCAGTTTGAAGAAATTCAAGGCATGTTGTTCTCTTTTTGCAGAGCACAAGAACTAGTTGCTCTATCTGGGGCTCACACTCTCGGGGGTAAAGGTTTTGGAAGTCCAGTTGCTTTTGATAACTCATACTTCAAAATTCTTCTGGAGAAACCATGGAAGTCTTCAGGTACATAACTCAACATGGAATAAAATTTATACTCTTTTATTTCTCTTAATCCTTTTGGTTGTTTCCCATTCAACAGAGTTAAGATACTGCCTTTGAAGAAATGCTTGAAGCTTGATGTTACAGATATTCCAAATGAGAGTTTCTAATTCATACAAGTATTTTCTGTAAATGCTGATTATGAAGACACTTTAGCCATTCTATACTTCCCTTATTCTCAAAAATAATATGTCAAACAATACCTAAAATGTATAGAATCAGAGTAGCCCTTAATAGGGATTTGAGCCTGGTCTTCATTTGCTTATAGCATCAAGGGACTCTCTCTCATTTATGTTTTTATTTTCAGCTGGTCAATTGCTGATATATTTATGTTCTGCACTCCTAACTGTTTCTGTTATTTCTGCACTGATTTTTTTTTTTTTTTGCATGTAGCTGGTATGTCAAGCATGATCGGGCTTCCTTCAGATCATGCCATTGTAGAGGATGATGAATGCTTAAGGTTCGTCTTTGGAAATCCTCTTAAATTTCCATTTAGTTGTTATCCTGTCTCATCTTGAATTCTTACCAATATAGTTATTATCATTAAGTCTAAGTTCGTATAAGGGGTTCTCCATTAAGAACATTTAAATGCAATTCTTGCTGGCAAGCCCATAAGGGGGGACTGAGGAAGATGGTTGTTTGGGAAGATCGCTTGCATGCGTATAAAATTTTCGTTAGTATACTTAACTAATGGAAAGCTTATATATGATTCACAGATGGATCACAAAATACGCAGACAATCAGAATATATTCTTCGAAGATTTTAAGAATGCTTATATCAAACTAGTGAATTCTGGTGCAAGGTGGAAAAGCATGTGATGACTGTCGAAGAGTGACATTGTGTTCATTTCTTGTCTTCTTGATGAATTAGGATACAGTGGTGTTCAGATAATATAATTATACGAAAAGACATGCCTTTATGTTGGTAGATAAATAAATATCAGAAGGATTGTCATTCTTTCAGGTTCCGAGAGCAGTTAGAGAGGCCTAAAAGTGGAGCCACAGAATGTTTCAATTCAGGAAATAAAGCTTAACATTTCATTCCGTGGCATTTTCTTTCTGTTTCTCTGTTTCTTCCAGCACTGTGTATTCGCATCTATCAGGCTGGTGGACTCAAATTAGATGGGTTGGTTTGAAGCCTCCATGGACTTGATTTCAAGCTTGCTTTGCACTTTCCTGAATCGGTTTAAGAAACGCTAAAAATCTCTTACAAAATCACTGTTAAAATTTAGAAGCAGTGAATCTCATGATCAACTAATGCAATTTTCGCAGGATCAGTTTCTCCTGGATCACCAAATGCACAAAAACTATATCAGGGTTAGCACTTATTACCCAGGAGGTCAAGTTTATGTCATCAGTGATGAACCAAGCTTAATTTCCACAGAATGAGAAGAATGTTAGAGAGAGAGAGAGAGAGTATAGACATTGATGAAACTGTACAAAAGCATGTGCTAGACCGTTGAACCAGATCTCAAAATGATGCTACTGAACAAGGAAATACATCCAAAACCTGTACATTTTTTTTTTTGTAGCCTGCAGGTGTGGGTCAAGCTTGAAATATGTAATAACTCAGCTCCCATGTCTTAATCTTCCAAAGTAACAGGGTAGTATTTTTATATTTACGTTTTACACCTACCGGTTCTTGTCCCAAGGATAGGCAGTCAAGGGTTAGGGGGGTGTTCCGCACCTGCACGTGGGAATCATTGCCTATATCAAACCAGAATTCCCTTCTTCTTTTTAGTTTTATGGGAGATAATTTCCTTTAAAAATCATACGAGAGAAGCATCATCATTCTCCCTGCATTATCTGCCATGGTCCCTCCCACTTCCCAGTTTTCACATAGGACAGGTTACTAGAGGGACCAGAGTCCCCATGTTTGATGCCCCTCCATGACAGTGACTTCTCCAAGCTCTTTTCTAGGATATTATATCTCCACCACCAAAAATACAAATAAACATGTATAGTTTTATCTGTTGATAAATTGGGTAGATACTTCTATTCTAAGGACTTTGATTGGGCTGATGTTTTATCTGGATTTGATAGTTTGATAGACATAATTCAGCTGTAAATAACATATGATTTCTCTCTTTTTATCTTGATATTTGTTTTCTTGGGATAGCGGGGCCTAATTTGATGTGTACTTCTTATTCCACAATTATGAGCCACAGATTTCTTTCTTACAAATTTTAAAATATATATTGTGTATATCCACATGACTATGTTTTATGTATATAATTTCGATATCCCATTATCCATCACTCTCTTTCATTTTTTAATGTTATTTTTTTATTTAAAAATGATAAATAATTAAAAAATATATATTAGGCCAAGCATTACGGCAGCAAAGGGTGGCCACGGGTCCATTGCTTCTACAGTCCGCAAAAGATTTCCTTCTAATCCCCTCCTTGAGAAAGACAATTCTCAAGGAAACTCTTTTCCACTCTTCTGTCTCCTTCAATCATTTTCCTACTTGCTTAAGATAATTACATTACATTATAATCATTTCAATACATTAACAAATTCTGTTAGCCGGCACAAGTTTTTTCTTTATGATAATCACAATGACTTTTGAAATGAGAAAATTTTTTATTTTCTCGATTTGATTTAATAGTATTGATCGAACCAATTACGATTATCGACTCAATTGATAAATTTGTTCCTCTGAATGGTAAATAATTTCATGGTAATTCTTTGTCGTCCTTGATTTCCATGGAAATGCAAGAACATGGAGAGAGCAGAAAGGCCTTGCAAGCACCAGTGGTTACGTTAGCCAAACAACAGGATGAGAGCAGCATGGAGGGCTAGACCTAACATGAAGGTGGGAACTAGTACTGGGGTTTCGGAAAAAGGGACCCAATTCACACGTGCAAATGCTAAGGAATGTACCGGATAAGGAAGGGCAGGGGAACATGCATTTATCACCTCAACGCTCATCCCACCCGCTGCCTGACTCACGTGCATCTCCCCTGTTGCACGTGCCATGTACATATCCACACCTTTGGATTTTTGAACTTTTTATTTATCAAGAAAAAAACCATGTTTTGACCGATGATTTTATTATTTATGTTTTATTTGTTAAATTAATTGATAATATGTATAGAAAGTTTTGCTATATTTTAGTTCTCAATATATCTCTCATTTAATTGATATAAAAATATTTTTATAATAATTTTGATATTCTTTTTTACGTATAAAGATAATTAATATATAACATGAAATGAATCATAAAAAAACCGACAGAAGGATCAGTGGATGGAAGCAACGCCTGTTCTGATGCTAGTAATATCAATCCTCACATGTAACTAAATAATATGAAAATAACATTTGATCGTATATTTTGTTGAATTATAAAAATATCAATCAAACAAAATCTTAATACTCAGACTAAATTGTTATACCTATTTAACTATAAACTAAGATTTAAAAAAAAAAAGAAAAAAGAAAAAGAGAATGACCATGATGACATCAGTTTCAAATAAGACTAAATTGATCAAATTAATTATTTACAAAGTTGACAAAAACCCACCCTAAGCTTAAACCTTATCTTTGTGGCTGCTACACAACTTGGCTTGAAAGCATTTCTGACTTATCAATTTGGTGATTGCAGTTTATTAAGCAAAGTAATTCCTCTGCTTTGACTATAATTGGTTTAAGCTTATAACAATCCATTGTACCATGATTATTAAAGTACACTTAAAGCTAAGAAATTTTAATTTATTTTTTTTAAAATTAAAAAATGAAGACCAATTAATTTTTCACATTCAAATGTCTAGGCAACCAATTTCCTGATTAAATTTAATAATTAGTAGGTAAAGTTTTTCACAAGAAATGACCCTTACCTAAGACAATGATAATGAAATACGAGTCTAGCTTGCCATATTGCATTTTCTACTCCAATTCCACTATCTTATGTTGAAAACTTTTTATAAAAAGAAGATTATTCGATTATATGCATAACGGTACAAGATATGATTAACTCGAAATTCACTTTTTACGTCTCTAGTAGTATAGTTAGACGATATTTATATTATTTATATACAGTTAATTTTTAAATTTGGTATCATGAGTTGAGTAATATGAATTGATTGTGTGACATAATTATTTAAAAATAAAAAATAATCATAACATCCAATATTAAATTAGAGATATTTTTATATTTTAATTTATTATATGACTCATTTCTTCCGTCCATTACATTGTTATTGTATTTTCTATTCTCAATCTGAAATTGTTAAACTTCTATCTTGTAAAAAAGATAATTATTATCTTAATTTCATACAAAGATAATTAATTATAAAGAAATTATAAGATAATTTAATTCATTTCATGTCTTAATTTTTGAAAAGATAATTAACATGCTAGGATTAACCTTGGTTTGGATGTCCGAGAAAAACATGGTGTCAGTTAGTTAATCCGACAAGAAATAGATTAAAATAATTAAACCTGATTAATTATTAATTAATTCTCTTTAGATCTAATCCAAGCTTAGATTAATTCAGCCTTTGATTTAATTCAAAACTAAAACCAAATTTAATTCAGTAATCTAATTGCACATGCTGCTTTTATTGTCACCCTAAACAGTTGAATTTAATACTGAAAGAAAAATATTAAAAGAATGATTCAAAATGAAGATATCCACTTCGAAATCAATTGCATTATTGCTGGATTTTCTTTTCCTTTTATAGTATTTTTATTTGTTCAGAGAATAGAAAATTACAAAAAAAACATCGCGTAAAATTGTAAAATTTTATTTAGGACACAATTGTAAAACTGGACCTTAAATTAAAGCGTCATTCCGAATTTTACAAAAATCTGTTGACCCAATTTTAATTTTTCAAAAACCCAAGTACTCATTGACAAGCAATAAGACAAAAAACTCTTTTTTCTTTTGCATAAATTTCACCTAACACTTTTCGCAATTTTAGCTTTTTTACATAATATTTTATAATTTTTCTTATAATCAACATGTTTAGAAATATATATATTTTTTCAATTAGTATCATGCCATAACTTTTATTTTCATGAGAAATTAAAGTTAATTGTATGTTATAAAATTACAAAATATCTAATTTTATTGTAAAACTATAAATTATTAATGCAACACTAATTAAGAAAAAAAATATTTACAAAATGTCTCATTTATTTGTTCAGATATTTTTATAATTTGACTTCGTTTAATATTTTTTGTAAAAAAAAATAATCAATATAGATGCTAATTTAAAAAAATATTTACAAAATGCTAATAAGGGAAGAAAGTAATCATAAGATATGGTAAGAAAAAAATTAAAATTACGATTAAGTGTAAGTAAAATAGTGGGAGAGTGGCAATGGGGATAGCAGTTACTTAACCGTATAAAAATTAGTCCAAAAAATAAAAAAAATAAAATAAATCCGTAATTGGTAACCGTATTTGGGGAATCCGTCATTTTCTTTGAAAGAGAGTGAACTGGAAATGGATTTGAAAGCCGCTCGTATAAAAGACCTTTCCACCTTCAAAAATAGAACCGATACAACTTTCAAACAAAAAAAAAACAAAAATCTAAATAAAAAAAACGAAATTTCAAATTTCAATTATTTTATTTCAATTTCTTTTTTTTTTTTCGAAGATCTTCCTGTTTAGGGCCCTAGATCCTCTAATCTTCACTGTTTAACTTACTCTCTTTCTTCTCAGATCTTTTCCCATTTTCTTCGCTAATTTCTCTCATTAATCTTCTTGGCTTCATGGAGTATTGATTTGTCGCAGGCTTCACGAGGTAAGAAGGAAAAATAAGTAGAACCTTTGTTTTTCCTTTTTCCTTTTCTTCTTTTATTTTATGTCTTTTTTCTAGTTCTCGATTGTTTGGCTCCTGAGAAAGACTGAGGGAAAAATTTGCATGTTTTTTTTTTGGTGTAAGAGTAGATCAATTTGAAGTGAAATGTGTTAGTTGTTTGGCTGTTTTAGTGACGTTCTGTTGAAGATCTCTGTACTCATTGGAGCTTTACCCTACTGGAAGCGTCTTTTTTACTCGGATTTTCACTGATTGGTTTCCTCTTTTTTTTTTTTTTTTAAATTGTAAAAGCAACGGCTGATGTTTTGAATTGGATTTTCGGTTACTGTTTATCTGCAAATGTAAGATCTAATTTAGTGTTTTTTTTTCACTCATTTTTTCTTAAATTTGATAGCAACAAACAATATTATAAATGCGTTCAATGTTTTTAAAAATCCAAATTTGATCTCTTGTTTGTCGTTTTGAACTTGAAATTGATCAACGTGGATAGAAATAGAACAATGAAAATCTGTAAAATAGTAGTATAATTTGTTATTGGTGTGAGGGTTTGAGGAATATTTAATTAGTGAAAGTGTTTGTTTTTATGTCTGTTTCAGTGTGTGATGGATTCGGATAATCTCTTGTCTGCTGGTGGGCTTGAGATTGCCCATCAAAATGGTGTTTATCCACAACTTCGAGTGTCTGGGGACGATAGTGGTATTTCAGATAGTGTGAATGGGAATGTTGAGAAAACCAGCAAGAGTTATGTGCAGAATGGAATGGATGATAATGGAACAACTGGGGAAGCTAGAGAAGGATCGAATGACTTCGTGGAAAGCAATGGCTTGATTGATTCTAAGGTAGTAGGTCTTACATTCTGTTTGAGCGCTTTTATTAATTAATATTAGTCTGATTTCATACTTACCATTGTGTCTGTCTTTTATAGGAAGGGGAAGTGAAAGATAATGCGAAGCAATCCAAACCTCAGAAGGTTCAAGGCAAGACCAAGAATGAGAAGCCCTCTGGTCCCAAAAATGTTTCTTCAACTTTAGTGAAGAAAAGTAAAGATGGAAAAAGTGCAGGGGAGATGTTGACAACTTCAAATGGTGGTTCTGTTGCTACAAATTCACGTCTGAAACAGCCTCTTAAGAGTAGATCATTTAATGAAAGACAAGCCAATGCATCGAAGGTTAGAGTTTATGTTCCTACTGATTTCTTTGTTATGTGCATTATTCTGTTGTTAATCTTGTCTGGGTTTTGATTACTGTTTTCTTTCTTTCTGATCATTTCTTTTCTTCTCTCTGTTTCTGGCAGCAATCCGAAAAGCCTGATGTGGCCTTCTCTGAAGGCACTACGTGCGTACTGCTTGTGCTTATGTTTGAATTTCTTTTCTCTACTTTTTCTCATGCAGCCCTCTGCCCTTGTTATTGTTTTTTGTTTACAAACTGAGAGAGGAAGCTCTTAGTGGCCACCTATCATCTGTTTATTTTCCCCTGAAATTAGGATATCTGTGCCAGGTGATGACAGATTTTTTTCTCCAGTGATATCTGAACTGTTCTATTGTGCATTTCAGGGAAAAACCAAAGCTGAAGTCTCTGAAGAAAGGACCTGTTAACACAGCTGAAGGAGACACAGAGTCCTCGTATCCTTTTTAGTTTGAACTTTTTGTTATCACTTTCTTTCTGGGTGTATCTTTGGCACTCTTGTCTATAAGTTTATAAATGACATATATATGTCTGTCCTTAATTGCTTCATGGAAGCCCCACAGCAGCTGATGCCAAACCTCGTAGGGTTGGTGCTCTTCCAAATTATGGTTTCAGTTTTAAGTGTGATGAACGGGCTGAGAAAAGGAGAGAGGTTAGTGCTTTATATCACATTCTCAACATTTTAGGTTGTGTTTCCTTGCAGTATTTATATTTCCCTTATAAGTGCTTACCATTGTGTTTTGCAGTTCTACACAAAACTTGAGGAAAAGATTCAGGCAAGGGAAGTAGAAAAGAGCAATTTGCAAGCAAAGTCCAAGGTGTTATTTGGTGAATGTAGTGGCCTATGGTCCCAGAATTGTTTGTTTCTTATCATAACAATATTTCAATTTTATGCCAGGAAACTCAAGAAGCTGAGATTAAGATGTTGAGGAAGAGTTTGAACTTTAAAGCAACTCCAATGCCAAGCTTCTATCAGGAACCTCCACCTCCTAAGGTGGAGTTAAAGAAGGTTAGTTTGTAATTTTTTATCATGGATATCATCAAGCTTCTATGAATAATGTGAAACATGTCAGACATATGAAGAATGATTATACTATAACTCTATAACCCAGTGGCTATTTGGTTTGGGAGGTGAGAAATTTTAAGAATCGTTTGAATGTGCTGGTGTGTAGAAAGCTAGGTGAGCCTTCTTTCTGATGTAGAAACTTGCATAGGCAAATTCATCACTGTAATTCAATATTAACTCCAATGGCATCCTTATTCGTGTTCTCTCTCTCTTTTTTTCTTCTTTGGGGTGGGGGAGGGGTGGAGTGAAATGCCAAACATGTAGGTGCCAAGGTTATGTTTTACGGTTTGCCACCTTTTCCACTTGTACTCATTTTTTAATCAGGCATTTGCACATCTCTCTGCTCATCATCCTACCAGAGCCATTTTCTTTTCTGCAAAAAGCTGATAAAATTAACTTACATACAACTAGCTAACAATTAAATCTATGTTGCAATTATTAAGAAAGCCTTTCTGAATGAACTGGAGACTGTAAAACTGATTTATTGCTGACATGAGGTTCAAGGGATAAATTTTCTGTAGTCTTTCAGACCCATTGTATTATGCCATAAGATGCGAATTTAGATGCTTTTCCCTATATTTTCTGTGGGTGTTTGATTCTGTGCTGAACTTGGCTGGTCCCTGTTAGACTAAGTCACATCAGCTGCCTCATCTTCTCTTGGGGCTGCCTTGTACTAGTCATTCTGTGGATGCCTCTTAAACAGTACCAATTGATGTCAAAGCTGCTTTATCTAAAATATTGTAGTCAAATGTGTTTTATATTAAAATATCCCCGTTTAGGCGTGATGTTTTCAGTTGTTGACACATTTATATTGGTGGGAAATCCAACTTCATCAAGGGAGTTTCTTCTTTGTTTTTTTTGGGCCTAGGTTTATCCACTTTGAATCAACCTCTTGAATGGATAACATTGAATTGAACTGCTTTAAGTTGCCTTGGCTCATTCCTGATGTCACAGCCAATTTGATTTTTCCTTTGTTCAGCATGTGGATGCATGCATTATGTTATAGTATGAATCTAGTATATACAATTCTAATGACAATATGCATGTTGTTAAACATAATCAAAGTTCATTGGTCCATTTCTATATCTCAGTCTGCTATGTGGCAGCTTTGAATTTCTCTCTGTTTGCAGCATTGATCTTTTTCTATTGCCTGGATGCAGATACCACCAACAAGAGCTAAATCTCCAAAGCTTGGTCGAAAAAAAGGCTCAAGTCCTTCAGAGTCTGATGGTAACAGCAATAGTGGCCACCAATCAGGCCGGCTAAGTCTGGATGAGAAGGCATCTCAGAGCATCTCTGGCAAAGTTATTTCTCCTGTCCATGCAAGGAAGCCACAGCGGAAATCACTTCCCAAACTGCCTTCTCAGAGGACTAGTTTGTCCAATGCAGCAAATGAAGAAAAGACATCCAAGGGATCCAATCAGGAAAAGGTAACTGCATCTAAAGCAACTACTGAGGGTAAGATAGCCTCATCTAAAGCAACAAACGAGGAGAATACTACCTTATCTGACGTGACCAGTGAAGAATTATCTCCAGTCCAGCAGCAGGTGGCAGTTTCTACAGCTAATTCAGGTGAAAGTCAGCCCTACATGGATCAAGCGCCAGTGATTGGAGAGGAAGGACAGCTGGACTTGGTGCAAGAGCCTATTGCACTGCAGCGCTAAGCATGGCAATGGTTTCAAGTGGATGTTCATATACAAAAGCTCTTGACCTCATTTGGCCTAAATAAGGACGTCTAAGACTGAATTATTTGATGATCAAGGCATGAAAAAAAAATTCTACATTACGGGTTATGATGTTGTCTTCCTCCAATATTCAGCAGCTTTGGTTGTTTCGTGTGTTGCTTGCAAAGGTTGCTGGGCTTGTTGTTAGGATTCTGCATTCCTGTTTGCAGCACTGTATGTCAAATCATTTACCAAGTTGTCCTAATTTATGTTGTTTAAGGATGGCTTATTGAATATATTTTGGGAAATTTTGGAGTTGTCTGCTGTTAGATAATCCATGATCGATTCGGGTTTGTCCGAACCTGCTAAACAACTTGGTATTGTGAATTAAGTCCATTTTGAAGTTCCGAGTCTGGTACATTGTGTATAAATGTTTTCTGTTTTATTCTATAGTGCCTAGGTTATTTGCAAATATTAGATCCTCAGCCGCCAGTCATTCAGGTAATACTATGAGTGACAACATATATGCAGCATGACTGAAGATTTGAATTGGCCATAGCCTTATTTTTTTATTTTCTTTGCGATAATATGGTTGTCAATGGGTGTTTTGTAATCAGATATTTTGTATTACTAGATCTGATTCAAGTAAGATTAGGGTGTCTTATAATCGAGTTTAAGTAAAATTTGGGGTTTGGGTTTTGTATCTGTAAACGAATGATAAAATCATGAGAGGTTTCATGCTGTATAAAACAATCTTGAAAGGAGCTGGAAATTTTTAGTAGCAGAGCTCAGAATATCTGGAATGCCGAAAGGGGCATGGAAGAAAGGAATAGGAGCATAAGCATACGTATCTGAGAAAGAGAAAGGCATGTACGAGGAAATGCAACTGTGGACCACGTGGGGAAAAGTGGGCATCAAGCGTGGAACTCAGGGCAGAGAGATTCTCTCTTTGATAAAGGTTTCGGCATGGTTGTCAAAGAAAAAAAAATTTGGAGAACAATGATTCCCACGAGGAGAAACCATATATGCACAAACGGACCTGACAAAAAAAAAAGCAGCAGAATTAAGCAAGGTTAATAAGAAGCACCTGATTACAAGAGCAAGATCCTGATCAGGATTTATATCAATTTGTAAAATAGTAACCATTTTGATTTAAAAATATAATAAATCGATGTAGAATTCACGTTTTTTCTTTAAGACCGTGACAGCCAGGGTGTGTATGTTGAAGTTTTAGTACAATGTTTGATGTTCAAATTTCTGCTCATCTTTCTTCCCCTTGTCTTCTTCTTCTTTTCCAGCAGCCCACTCAAGTCGAGCATAAGCTGCAAGGACATGGCTGCATCAAGGATACCCAGAGTTAAACATTTTCCATAATGAAAGCAATACTGGCCAGTTGTCATTTGGTACTAGGCAAATTAAGAGGGATGAGAAAGTTATACCAGTCATCAGGGGAAGTCTGAGCAGCTCGATGAGAATAATGTAGAGCACGAGATCTATCTCCATGGTTAATCCATATCAAATCTCCATACATTGATAAAACTTCCCCGTCATCTGGTTTCAACAAAATGGCTCTCTCGCAATACTCCTCAGCTTTCAGAAAATCACCCCGTACCTAATGAAATATCAAACGACATGAGCTTGCAACATTACATCAACAGAAAAGACTTGAGGTTTCTCACTTCTTCCCTTACCTCTATCAAGAATTTAAGGTAATTTGTCAGAAGAAGGGTGTCTCCAGAGTAAGTTTTGATCATATTCTGGTAATACTCGTCCAAAATTTGCTCCCCTTGACCCCAATCTCCTAGCCCTTTTCCTCCAGCCCTGACACCAACACCGCCACCGACATAACAGAGAGTTGTTCTCTGACTGCTAGGTAGCTTTTGCCTTGGAATAGCCATTTGCCTCGTCTTTCTCTCCGGCCATGTTCTTTGGATTGTGTTCATCGATGACGCTGTCAAGGAAATCGGTTTTGATGGGATCCTACGTGAGGAGTCAACCGCAGGCAAGCTCTGAGGAATGCACGTTGTGAAGACTGGCGGTGATGAGCATCTTAGAAGCATTTTTGCTACCTTTTCTTTTTCTCTTGTTTGATGAAAGCCTAAGGAAACAGAGAGGAATATATACATACTAATCCTATTTATAATTTAAGTCAAATTCTTAAATAAATATTGTAATCTAACTAGGTAACAGCATTGTATTACAATTCTAAGTAAGTAATTTGTATAATTATCTTAACAAGAAAAACCATGCAGGAAAAAAAAAAGAAAAGAAAAACCATGCAAGATGCCAAATAGGTAAAGATGCTTGGTCTCCAAGCCACAGGTCTGCGGCTCTGTGGTCTACCTTTTCTTGCAACATGGTGTTCTAGATGTTTATCCCAAGAGCTTTCACGGTCCGAATTTGTTTCTCTCATATGCTATGTTTTCACCGTAAAAAACTCCCCAAAGACAAGAACCGTTCAAATTGTAAAAACTTTATAGAAATCAGTATGCCTTTAGTTTGAGATTGATTGTCCGGAAATGGAAAAGATCAATGTTTAGACACCCTTTTATTGTAAAAAATCTACTTTGATTAACATGCCTGAGGAGCCTGCAATCTAGCTAGCTACCCTAAATTTGGAAAGACTGGATTAGAAATTTATGTTACATGTCCAATCAATCACGAGCAGGTGAACTCTAAATCCATTAGATTAACAGATAACTGAGTTTGGGAACTGTCAAAACCACATCGGCAAAGACATATACAATCAAACTTAGAAACACAAACACAAATATAAAGCCTGAGGCTTAGAAGGCATCTTAGTTAAGCTGATAAAGATGCTCCAATCTTTCTGAAACGATGAGTGGATAAAGCTTATTCCAGCATTTGCATCTCCAGGAGAGGAGATAGTAGATGTCATCTTCATCAGGGCGTGATGTTGTGTATGTTTTCCGTTGAGGAGGCTGAATAACCAGTGTAGCCATGCATGGCCTGCAACTCGAACACTTGTTTAGACACGCTGGGGGCCTTGAACCCACCTGCAGCTTCTCTCTGTCATGGACACTTCTGGTTTTGTAGCTACGAAAACCCAACCCAACTGCCAAGGGTAAGCAGAATGTACAAGTAAGGAATCAAGGAGTCCATTAACATGACATATAATCATATCGTATAACTGTCCAAAGTCTCTTTTTCTCTAGAATTCAACAGTTAATGGCTGAACCATTGGAAAACCCCATTAGCCGGTTTCTGTTAAATATCCCCTTCAAGTGGAGTTGGTTTTAATTGTTAATCACCTGATTTTGAAGGAAGAAACGCGACGAAAAAGATGAGAATTGCAGCAATTTTAAGCTTATTTTGATAGTAAGATGATGGAGCTGCCATCAAGGTTGACTTGTTTCTTCTGCAATTACCTGGTTAGCTGAGAATGTATGGAGTAGAGAAGGGGGAAAACCAATTATCAAGGAAGACACAGAATTTGATTTTGGATAACTGGATGCCTAAACAATTGGAAATGGTGGAATGAAAACATGGAAAGAAGTCTGGTAGTTTGTTGCAGCCAGCATAAGAGACAACATTTCTGTGGAGGTACTTCCTGGCTTGTCAATTAAATGCAATTCAGTGTAGCCTTGTACAAGATACATGTTTCCAAATGACTTTATCTAACACTGCCAGTTTAAAACAGGAAAATGAAGTCAAACAGGAAATTCACTCTGCAGTTTTCTTCTTGCTTCAGTACTGCTGTAATTATTGCGTTATTGACAGGACCCTTTTGGTGGACTCTACATTTTAAGCCTCCCACTAACTTAAACAAAACAAAAACATTGCTTAAATTTTGATTCTGCAAGTCTCTGCTCTCTGATCTACTTGAATGCTATAGCAAGGTTTATGCTTCTCTCATTTTCTTTAGCAAGAGCTAAATCCTGAACCATAGTTCTCAACACTAATGTCATTAATTCTAATCGAAAACCAAAATCTAAGATGTCTTTTCCTTGTTCCTAATTTTTATTGTTTTTTTTTTTTTGGCACAAATCAATGGAAACAAACGATATATAGTGCAACCTGAAAGGCCTGCAGCAATGCTTTACTGAAAGCAAAGGTACAACTAAAAAAACATGAAAGTGTGTCATCTTACTCAGCAAAGTCATTGATTTATCCAGCAAGACCAAACCTCCTAATTGTCAGAAAGAACTTAGAGAGACTGTGGGTCAGTGTGGTGATGCATCACTCTGTTAAGAGGATGAGTCCTGTCAACAGCAATACCTTACAGACTCACAGTAACAGGAAGTGACACTACCTTAAGGAAAAATTTAATCAGATGACAGGCAGACAGGTATTCAACTTTACATTCTTTCAAGTATGAGTGAAGGGTTTAGGGGCTTAGCAGCCTTGGCAAAATGCGCAAAAGAAAGAAAGAAACAGAGCTTGGGCATTTCGATATTGATCTTGGATTGCTCTGCCAAGGCAATTTCGAGCCCGCCTAGTTCCTTGGCAAGATCAACACATTCCTTTAACTCTTTTAAGTGTCCTTGCCTGCTAGAATGGAACATGAATAGGATGGTACAGATAGAAAAGGATGTTAGACCAACCCTTATTCTCATTAAAAGGAAACTACTGCAATGAATAGGATGGCCTTTTGCTACATACTATTAACATTATAAACATAATTCCTACCTACCTTAACAGTCAAAAACAGCCCCAGGAAATTAGATCAGTGAAATTATCAATCATCATTCAAACTTAATCACATACCACAGCTGATGGAAATCACATCATTTCTACTTACAAAAAGTTGAGAACTTTTTATTAATCACGGGGATAGAAACATACATGACCTCCAGGGGCAGATATAAAATTCATTACAACATTGTAGCGAGGTTACAAAGTACAGTTCAGAGCAAATGAAACCAGCAAAACATGGGCTTGGTAAAAGAAAAAACAACTCCCAAGAGTTGTCATGGCAGGCTAAATAAATTGCTGCCACGGCCAAAGCCCAAGAAAGCTAGGCACTACACCTGGAACTGCCAAAGGCAACCACAACTATAATGACTCTTAAGAACTTCAATCGACCCTTGAGGAAAACAGAAGACCCAACCATCACGTGTAGAACATTGAGTTCAAAAACGTGAAAGACTCGGTAAAACCAACAATGGACAAACTCCAAATTGGGTACTGGAAAGGCAAATATCAAGAAAGAGCTTAGCCCAAGTAGAAATGAACAAGGCTATGCAAAAACGCCATGCGCCAGCACCCAGCAAACATAAAACCATAAAGATGCAGAAAAGATGCCCTAAAATCCAGATCTCAGCAACTGTATTCTCAGGGATATTCAGCCATGAAGAAACCAACACCCATTACTGGGATTCAAAATGTAGTAACAGATCTCTGATAAAAGGAAACCTGCGAAAAAAAGGAGAATGGCCATATTCCCTGGAAAAGGGGACTGAGTACTGGAAGATAGAAGACCCATTGACGGACCCAAAAACTACACGAACTGCTGCTACTCACAAAGGCTATTCTGAGGCTTCTAGATTGGTCAACCCTGCGTTGTTGATCAGAAAAGGATATCACACCTCCATAGCTGCTCCACAAGCAGGTCAACTGCACTGCTGCTGATTGCCTTGCATTGCTGCAAGTTTAATCCCAAGAGAGTCTGACCCAATTTTCCAAGAGAAGGCAAGCTTTTGTCTGAAACCATGGTGCAACCAGACACAGAAAGAATCTGCAGATTGATCTGATTAGAATGAGCAAGAGCTGCAATTCCAGAATCAGTGATGGAACATTTTGAGACATCAAGATCACTGAGCAATTGGCAGCTCTCTGCAATTGCAACCACACTAGCATCACTGATCTTACAACCATCAAGATTCAGCATTTCTAGAGTCCACCCGTGCAAATCAGCCATGACACAAACAGCTTTGTCACTCAAATTCACACAACCACTGAGATTAACCTTCACCAAACCAGCCTCACAACTCTCAAGTAGTGGAAGTATCCCAATATCTGTTATTCCATGAAGCCCACTCAACTCCACATTCTGCAGTTGAGGGCACAACTTACCCAATGCAGCCAAGCTAGAATCACCAAAACCAGGGCAGTCACGGATGGACAGTGATCGAAGGGATTCACAAGGGGATAGGGAAGGCAATCCCAAGTTTAGGTCCTTAATACCCAAGCACTTCACAAAAGAAATAGCCTTCAACTTTGCACCACAGTTAAGAAGGGAACCAAAAAACCCATATTGGGTGATCCTGTGGCACTCCTCCAGTTGCAAGCTCTCTAGTGAACCAGCTGCTTTGGCAAAAGACACCAATCCATTATCAGATAAGAAAGCACATTTGCGGAGGCAGAACTGCTTCAAATTTGGGCAACCCTTTCCAACAGCTTCAAGTCCCAAATCTGTCGCTCCACGGCAAGATGTAACTGTGAAAGACTTCAATTTCTGTAGCCCATGCCCATTACCCATTACCCAGAAGCCCTTCTCACTCACATTTGGAAGGCTAATGAGGGAAAGGTCAGTCAATGCATTGCCATAGTGTCCAATAACAGCAAGAGAGACATCAGTAATCTTCAAAGCATGGAGCTTTACTTTTGTGAGGGAATATGAGGCTGAAGACAACATGCTTGCAATTCCTTGATCTCCAACAAGGGGGCAGTCTCTGATTGAAACAGACTTTAGATTGGAACAGCAGGATGCTACAGCTTGGAGACCTTCATTTCCAATGTTTGCACAACCCTCTATGGTCAGATCAGTCAAATTTGGGCAGGTCTTTGCAACAGCTATCAAAGACTTATCAGTAATTGCAGGACAGTGGCAAAGGTCAAGCTTCTCTAGCTGGTGACACCCATCAGCAATCTGACACAGACCTTCATCTCCAACAGAAGACAAACCCCACAGGGAGAGAACCCTAAGAGAAGGGCATCCACGGGAAATGGCCCTGAGACCAACAGCTGTCACTCCACGACTGGAATTGCTTCCTCGAATGAACAGCTTGCCCAATCCTCCACGACTAGCAGTTCCAACAGCAATAGCAGCCAGTCTAACATCTGTTGCTTTCTTCCCTTCCAAGCTCCTAGAGAGGTATCCATCACCCTCAACATCCTGATCTTCATCCTCAGAAACAACTCCACCCTTCTTATCAGTACTCACATCCTTGAGATTCAAAGCTTGAGTGGTGATTTCATCTCTGCGGATGTCACTTACAAGTGTAAGCCAGCGCTTGGAAACACAGGCACAGGCACTCCTCTCTTGGCCTCCAGGCAGCCGTCTGAAGATTTCAAATAAGCATTCATCAGGGAGAACCTCGATTGATGGCTTCTTCTGCTCAAACCTCTCTCCAGAGAAAACAAATGGGGCACTGATGCGGGACCTCTTGCGAAGAGGAAAATACACATCCACATGATGTCCAAGGGACAAAAAGTGGTTTGACTCCTTGGGGTTTGGGTACATTGACCCCCCAGGGCAAAAATCATCACTTCCTGAGAATCAAGAACCAAGAACCGTGATGAGAACACAGAAGTCTACCAAAATAATATAAGAAAAAACAAAGAATTTTGAAAGCTTTCTGATTAAATAGCAGTTGCTCAGTATTATTGTTGACCACACCCATCTCTACTAATATCATGTTCAACAAACATAACGAAAATAACAAGGAACCTATGAATATTTCTTGAAGATCAAACTCTAGATTCCAAAGATTCACGCCAAAGCCCCATAAGGCAAAACCCATAAGATCCATTAACCAGAAGAGATTTTGAATCTATAGCTCATAAATCCATCTCATATGTAGTCCCACAGACCTTATATTTCACAACAAACAATCTAAAGTCCAAAAGAAAATCTTATGAGCCTGAAAAGCCCCGCTGATCCGTTCAGAATAGACCTGATCTACAACCCAAACACCTCTATAGTTTTCAAGTTGAAAGAAGCATAAAACCACAAACAAATCAGCTAGGAAACATCTAAGCTCCTCTATAACATCAAGCTCTCCCATATATTAGACAGTAGAGGACAACATGTAAGCCCAAAACTCGTAAGAGCCACAAAAATAATCTGATCTACAACTACAACTACTTCACAGCTTCCAAGTCTTCAAAGTAACAAAAACCAACAACTAGAATCACCTAAAGGCAACTAAAGTTCTTCCCCTAGATCAACCTTATTTAACTAATTCACAACCATGACTGAAAACTCCTCCTTTACCTAATCAACCGAATACACAAAAGAAACATCTTTTGAAACACCAAAACAGAAAATATCAAAAGCTATTAAAATCATACATGATCCTGAAGTTATCAAAGACAATCTCAAAAATCTAAAATATATTTACATAAAAAGAAGGGTCTAACTTTATCACATCCGATCTATTGGCAAAGCTCAAGATAAACGCAAATCATAGATGCCCCGATGCAAAACAGCTAAAAAAAAAAAAAACAAAGCTAAAAACGAGTAAAGATGAAGAGTTTACCACTGAAAGAAAAGAGCTTTGACATGAGTACAGCTCAAAAAACCCCGGGAGGTCAAATCTGCACTGTTCCCCGCCCAAAAACCCTCCAAAGAGAGCAAAAAAGAGAGACCCAACAAGGAAAAAGGCTAAAACGTCACCGTATGTAGCTTGAAAGCACGAATGCATGAGAGAGATTGGAGCTAGCAGGACATGAAAACCCTATCAGATAGGGCAAAAAAAGAGAGAGAAAAGGAGGAGGAAGAAAAAAAACTGTGGAGAAAGAGAAATGAAAGATGGGTGGAAAGGGAAAAGGGGACCTTTTATTACTAGAGGAGAGAGGTTTGGGTATGTGACAATACACCGGAGAGAAACCCACATGCAATGTATTTGAGCAGAGAATTGGTTTTCCTTGATATATTCTCTCTCTTTCTCCCCCCACCATTTCAATACCACATACCGCTTACCGCTTTTGCTTTTGTTGGTTTTTTTTATTTCCCTTTTGTTGTGGCCAAGTGTTTGGATACTCGATTAAGCTAACTTTCTGCGCTGCTTGTCAAACCCTATCATGGAATAAGCTACTTTTATTTTATATTTTTTTCTTTTTATATGTAACAATTAACTTTTATATAAGTAATATTGCTTAATACTTAAACACGTACATATTTAAATATTGTAAGATTTTAATCTTATATTTTATTCTCTCATCTTAATTTTTTTTATTTTCGTTCTATAAATCAAGATACAATAGTGAAAATATATTTGAGAGTAAAATTAAGTTATTATTAAGAGAAATTATAGAGAATTTTGAGTGGATCATATATTAGTTGGTCATAAAATTTTCAATTTTATTTTCTGTCCAAAAATCTAACCACTTTTCGAGGGGCAAACATACATTAATGTGTATAATTTTTTCAAATTAAATGAGAATTTAATAAAAATAAATATAGTAGTGGCAGAGATTAATTCTAAAGAAGTTATTTAATGTGACATTTATAGTTTTTATAATGCATTGTCTCAATTCATGGAACTGAATTTAATTACAAAACGTTTTGTGTTTGCTCTTGAACTCTCTCTTCACATCATGCCTTAAATGTTGCATACTTTATTTATATCATCTAATAGAAGGTCAAAATATTTTAATAATAAGTAATTGGGACTCTATTTAATTTATTTATTTTTATGAAAAACTTCTCGAGCTTGAAATAATATATTCAGGAAAAAAGAAAAGGAAAAAAATCATGTCTCAATTAGTAGGATAATGAAATTTATTGTTTTATTTAAATAAATACAAAAAATGGAAAAACAAGAAAGAAAAGAAGAAAGAGACTCAAGATTTTATAGCTTGTAAATATCAAAATCATGAAAATTATTAAAATATTTATTCTTAGGCATTTATTGTATTGTGCATTGCCCTTTTGCAATTTAGGAACATATATAGTGCTATTTTTTGACATTAAATTGTGGGTTAGGTTAGGAAGAGCTAGCTAGCATTGAATTTGGCTACAATACATGTTCAATGATCAATTTAGAGGCTGGGGTCTACAAAAATTAGGGGAGAGGGAAGCTTCTTGGGTGACCCACCTAAAGGAATTGGTGGGGTACAATGTGACTTTGTGTTCATGGACAATGCTAAGAACCATCCTTGCATTGAAGGCAAGTTAGGTCCAGCCAGCCAGCCAGCCAGCCAACAAGCATTTCCATTTCTTTTTGGTTGTTAACTATCATCTTCAATTTTCACATTGATTGACAGTAATAAACATATATAATCTTTGTTTCTTTCTTTTTTGATTGAGATTTTTGAAAGGAATATAAAAGTTATAAGCAAAGAATTAAATTAGTGTTATCGAAAGATTAAAAAGGTTTTGCTACAGGTAAATAAAATTATTTAAATAATACATTCGAAGCAAGTTTTCAGATTCAAAACCGATAAACTCGAACATGTTTGTAAACTGCTTAATCTTTATTTTATTTAATTTTTTTGTACCAACTAGATAATGCATGGCAAATACATGGACTGTCCATAAGACATTACTCCAATAATGTCTTTAACACATAATTTTGTCTCCTTATATTTAAGTCTATATAATATAGCCTTTTTAAATGTTTCATTGATCAAAGGCACCATAATTACTTTAGATTCCAAAATTTCATTAATATATTAAGAAATACTATTAAGTATCAGACCTTTGAAATACCATGTCATGCTATAAATTGTAGCACATTAATTACAACCCATTGTAATAAAAATACTCTACTAACATGTTGGGTTTTCCTCGAACCGTTTCATGAAAATAGTCAAATGATTATAATGATATGACATTTAAGAAATAATTGAATAAAAATAATTAATGATACTTTATTAAAAAATAATAAATAAAGAGATAAAAGAAGAAAATAATGATGCTTTATTGTTCTGTGAGATCAATCTTACAATAAGAGAAAAACAATATTTTCCAAGTGAGATCAATTTCAAGATTTATATAATCGATCTCAAATAGAAGAGAAGACCGTCAACATAATATTTTCTGTTGATTTGTAAAAAATTTTACATTCGTTAAAGTTTTATTCCGTCAAAACACTTTGAAAAAACTTTTCAATTTTATCAAATAGAGTCTTAGTTTAGGTGAGTTTTGTCGAATCCTGTTATGGTATGTTTAGAAAGGGTTTTGAAGTTAGGTGAAGATGTAATCAACTTCTTGGGAAGTCGGGCTTGATGCAATCTTTCTAGTACATTCCCCAAATCCAAACTAGCCATATTTCTGTGAAGGGTTTTTCCTTCCAACTCATGAAATTCAGCAATGCACGTGAATGTGATCCATTCTCAGCTGCTTTTGCCAACCTCTAAATCTTCAATTTGCTTGTAAACACATAGAATATACCCTGTTTCAGCTTGGAATTCTATAACAACAATCTTTGACGGATCCAGTTGTATGTCCATGTCGCCATGACCAGAATCCGCATTAATAAAGGAGAAATGGAAATGACCAAATTATGATGCCACCTCCCCATGGTTACACAAAGCTATACATCCCAACCGGGTCGGTTCCCATACGTGATATGCAAGTCATATTAGTGTTGTGATCATTAACAAGCATTTAGTTGAATTCTACTGTTAGTACTTTTTAAATTTCTCTTTCCCATTTTCGTTTCAAGAATAGAAGCATCGAAGCCGCGGTAGGAAATCATTTTGGAAAATGAATTAAAGTCGTTTTAATAAAAATTGTGAAATTAGTTTGTGATCGTATTTAAGATTTGAAGTTAAAGTTTTTTGATTTCAATGAAAAGGAAATAGGGTTTTGTGGAGCATAATATTCATTTTTTTTTCTAAAATCGATGGATATTAATTAAGAGAAAAGAAAGTTATTCTTATCGTGTTGTCGCTATATCATTGGACCAATAAGGAAAAAAAAATATGCGAAAAAGATACGATATAAGGAACCGTACCATCTTACAAATTTATTTTGAAAAAGATTTGAGAAAAATTAAAACGCAAAAGGAAGGTCCATGAGAAGGACGTGAAAGCAGAATGAAAGGAAGAGAGTTGTGTTGAATCTGGATGAGTAGACAAGAGCAACCACCCATGTTGTAAGAAATTCCTTTCAAGACATCAACTTGCAAATGTTTTTTTTCTGGTATGATGCGCAAAGGAAAGAGACTCATGCCAATCTGGCCTTTGGCCCCCCATTTGGGACATACTAACATTGGGAAATCTGAAATGTGAACCACATATGTACTTATATGAAACACTATCATGCACAACCATTGAAAACATCCTGGCCTTTTCCCCCAACCGGCCAGCCAACCCTACCCCCCCCAAAAAAATCCCATGCTAATGTCAAAAAAAAAAAAATTCAGTACGACCTATTAAGTTTTTTCCTTTTTTTTAAAAATAAAAATTTTAAAATTTAACAATTGAAGTGAAAGATTATAAGAAATAAATGATTACTTTTGAGATATTGTGTAAATACATCATAGAAATTGAAAAGGATTTATTCTCGTAAATAAAAATCTTCTACTCTTATCTCGCATTTCATTTTATAATTTTACATTGTATGCCCTAATTTATATTATTAAATTAAAAACCCTAAATCTTAAACCATGAATCTGAAAATCCAAAATCTCTTAAGCTCTTAACCCTAAAATGTTAAATTAAGAAAAAAAAAACAGAAGGTTTCTATTCAATTCTTGTAGATAAAGGTAAGTAAGCCGGCAGTTAATAGCAATCATAAAAAATTATTTCTCATTGAATGCAATCACATGCGGTGCATGCCATTGTATTGATTTTGTTTATTAATTAGTAATGCAGCAGCCTGTACATCTGAGGTTTTCCCATTAATTGCAAGCATATAGATCAGTTCTCTTCTTCAAATCAGTTCATGCTTGGCACTCATTCCCATGCATATACACATCAACTAGAAATATTTTTGTACAGAAAAAAAAAAAACAAAAGAAATTACCCAGTTGCAGACCTTTCCCAATAATGACAAACATGAGGTGGGTGGTTCCTAGTCAGAGAAAGGATGTACGGATTCTTCTTCTTTCCCAGGTTCATTGATTTTCTTCATGTTCACCCTCTGAAAGTGGGAATCCCTGCAATATTACATATTCAACTCGTGTTTTTGACCAAGTCTGGGCAAAAAGCATGGCACTTAACATTAAATTATAGTATTATGGATTATAACAATTATGCATTCTTTCCTAGGTTGGTTTGCTCCACCTGCACCTCTTCCATGACATCCATGAGGGCTATTATTATATATAAAATTCCTGCCCCCCAACTCATCAAATTTGGAAGTGCATGCATATCTACTCCAATCCACTATTCTTTTATCCCACTTGCTTTCTTCTATGTAAATATATATATATATATATATATATATATAGATATTCCCTTCTTTTTTAGTGCATTGACTTGATTGATTATGCTGTGGGATTCCTATCTTTTGCCTGATCAGTACTCTTTGGTTAAATGCAAAAACAATTCATCCATATGACTAAGCCACCAACTTGAACTATTTCTTAATTGGGTTTTTCCTTTTTTTGAGCATGGCCAAATGAAATTGCCATCTGGTTATCACTTTAACAATTTCAGTGCCAGTCAGTTCAGCTCAACTCTCTTTCCAGCTGTGTATAATTGTATTTTTTCAGATCAAATTAGCAGGGCATGATCATTGATTTACATGAATGAAAATCCGATTTCTTAACTGAGATTAAAATTAAATTTATCATTATACGGCGAGTTAATGTTGAATTTTGGCATTATACTTCAATTTCATTGAATTTTTTAAATTCTTACACTGTTTGATGACAACATCGTCTGATCGATCACCTTGTCAATGAAAACTTCACCATTTTGTTTTCTTTCAAAGGAGCAAGAGCAATCTTATCAATAAAGTATCATGTAGTTATGGCCCACCGCCCGACGTTGTTAGAGGGTGGTGAAGCCATCTTTCTTGTCAAATTCGATGTATGCTTCCCAAAGGAAAGAAGCAGACCCCAGAGAAAGTTGAAACACGGCTTTGCAGCCGTCACCCCTAGCTTCTTCCAATTATTACTACTACTACTACCAGCATTTTTTTCGGATAATAATGTAAACATTATTACGTGAAAAACATGACATAATTCCATTCTTCTTTGTGCTAAGGCCAGCATTCAATGTGAAACACATTTTTGCTAGTACTGGTGGCTGCCAATACCATTAGCTTCGCCCTTTTTTATTATTATTATCTGTCTCTGATTGTCTGGTTACGAAGAAGTTTTCCATCGTAACCTTTCCATGGCTGACGCAAAAACAGACACCCTTTAAAAGGAAACTGCCAGGGGCCCGGTTTGGATCACATTGGTGTGTTTGTGTATGTATGTGTACGTAAGAGTACTCTGATTGGTTGAGGCCAGTTTTTGTTGCAGAGAAACCCATGGTCAAGAACCTCTGATAGAAGTTTTCAGCCACTGTGGGCTGGGTCCAGGCCTCTTTAAATGGTTTTTGGTAAATGTAAACAGCCTATCGGGAGAAGGTGAGAGAGACCTGCTCCTCCATCTCCATTGAAAATGTACAGCCCATCTCCTTGGGAGCTCCTCTTTGGACTGTTAGACCTGTAGGAGAGAAGAGTCCAACAAAACCAAGCATCTTTCTCACGGCAAACGGTAAGTTTTCTTGTTTAATTAACAACAAAAAAAAGGACGAAGAAGCTGATGGAGAATACTAGAAACTAGAGTATTGCATTTCTCTTGCCGATTCATAAAGGACTTGTAAATTGTGATGTAAGAATAATACAATGGAACAATCCAAAAGAGCATGGTACAATCGGCAATCTCTACAAATTCCTGGAAAAATATATCCTTTCTCTATTTTTCTTCTTATCGAATATTTCTTAACATCATCCTACTCAATCGTATAAGCCCTCTTGCTCCCAAACATCGATTAGAAAATCCACCATTTCCTGTCACAGTGAACCCAACAAGAATTGAGGAACTCTAAAGGGAGAATATAAATAGTTTCAAGTAACATAAGAAACCGTCTAGTAGGCAGTGCAAGCTTACAGGAAGAGCAATCGGCTGGGGGAATGGCTTATTATTCCCAAGCAAACTCTCATAGGTTGCATCCCAACTGCAATACACAATTGTGAACCGCGACAAAGATGATAAGCAGCAGCAGAAGAAAAGATAAAGAAAAGAAATGGACAAAGGATGAAAAAGGCTTGTTGTTCAAGTGTAAAGTTGTATACAGGGGTTGAAACAACTTAAGTTCCGGTTAGTTGTTGTTATCCCTCTTTAGGAGGTTAAGGTCCAAGCTTTGAATTCCTCCTCCCCTGTTGGTCTCCACATATGTACCATAAAAACATAATGTACAAACAGGGATGGAATTGAAACAAGATCATCTAAAAAGTTTGTCACTCAGGGCATTCTAAAGGGACTTCTGCTTTATACTTGTCCCAAGTAACATTCTGTGTCTTCATATTAGAAAAACAATGAAAATTACTAACCTTATTGTGGGTTCTTGAGGTTGTGCCCGCTTCTCAGACCTTTTATTTCCAAGCCATTGCTGCCTTGTCTGGTTCCAAAGAAGAAGGCCTGCAAGTAAAACTTTCATCTTGAGAAAGGATGAATGCGAGGATTACCAAAACTTTCATCTTGAGAAAGGATGAATACGAGGATTACCAAAAAGAATATGATCATCCTTTTTTGAGAAATTCAGTAAAATGGTACTAAAATCTTGCAATAGAACATGCAAATATATGACAAAAAAGGATGCTATTCAGCTTTATGTAGTAGCATATGGAAGCTAAGATATCTGAACTTACCATGATTTACAAATTCAGAAGGATAGCTTGTACTGCCAGATGGATCAGGGGGTTGATTTGACAGGCTGATTGATGAAATGCTTCCCTGGGACTGACCTGCGCTAAGTTCCATCTCACATGCACTGCTGCTTGGGAAATCCTCAGAAAGGCTAGATTTCTTCACTTTCCGGCCTTGAATTGTTAGACCCTTAGATGGGTCATCCACCGCAACAATCAGTGTGGGTTTCGTGAAGCATCCAAAACAACCTCTGCTCTGTTGCAAACCAGGATTAACCACATGTATAATTGGTACCGACTATAACAACTCAATCCTTAATCTAGCAGCTGGAAGAGAAAATCATCCACTTTGCAGCCATTCTATGGAAATAAGCATATGATACAAAAATTCATAACATGAGCTAGATATATAACCACTAAATTTTTGCACACCCAGATCCAATCCAGTAAAGCTCATAGTAGGTAAACCAAAGTTATAACTAGGCAGCACATGAAGAGTGAATTAACGCATTTCTAAAACAAACTAAAGCAGAAAAACATAAAAAGAAAATTAGTCCCTCACACTAAAAAGAGCTTTGCATTTACACTTGAATGTTCCCGTCAGCCAGAGTGCCAGAGCACGCAAATAAGCTCCAGAAAACAAAACAAACGAACAACAGGGTTTCTTTCCAAAGCATCTCTCAGTCTGAGCTAATAAACAACACCTAGGATCCATACCGTCCTATAGAACCCCAAATTCCAAAAGCAAAACAAAAACTCTTTGTGTCATACAATCAGCTACCCAAAGGCCTAAACTTCAAGCAAAGAATGCCCCATAATCGAAAAGTCCCCTCTGCCCCTTCCTCCCAGATATCTCTTCCTTCACTCTTCTTATAGCTCGCTTATACAGCAAGTAAGCATAAAACATAACCCCAAGATTCCATAATAAAAAAAGCAAACTTAAACAACACAAATAGAACCTTAAAAATCCTGTCTTACAAACAAGAAAGCTAAGAATCAGAGGATCAATGTGATAGACTCCATTCAAATAAACAATATAAACAAAGTAAAAAATTTTATTCTTTGCAGTAAAAAGGAAAAAATGACGAAGAAGTACTGACCCCATGCAGGCAAAAAGGGCACAGATCCAAGCGGGAAGGTAACCAGAAGATTGCATCTAAAGTCCCCAAAGCAAAATCCTAATTCCAGGAAGGCGAAGACTAAAATTCCTGCAAGAATAATGATAAAGTCAATACCTTTATTTTCCAAGTCCTTTTTCTTGGAACTCTTGGTAGAAAAAAGGAGTTTTCTGGATTGAAAGAAATGAAGTAAGTACCTTGAAAACGGCATGTCTAGAAATTGATAAGTTGGATAAAAATGTTAAATCTTTCCCTTGGGCAAAAGGTTGCTTCTGGCCTCCTTTGGTCACTGATTCAACCAAAGGGCCTCTCCTCTTCTCTTTTTTTGTTCCTTTTTAATTTGGATTTATTTTCTTGTTTTGTTGAATTGTGGTTCTTTGGGGAGAATGGGCAAAAAAGGTGAAAAAAAATGAAAGAGAAATAAAATGGAAAAGCTCAATAGTTGGGTTGATGAGGATCAGTTAATGAACGTGAAACAGGAAGCGTTCGGATTTAGACCAGAGGAAAGGCAAGGTCCACATTTTGGAAATGGACTGAACTGGCTGTGTAGTGGCTTGCAGTGGGTAGACTATGTCGGCACGGCAGCCAATAGCGGACCCCACGCTAACTGCTTATCCATTTGTTCTTTTTCCCCCGAAAATAAGTACGTGTTTAAATAAAAAAAATTAAAAAAAGAAAATGATCTAACTTGATAGTTTAGAAATGAATAATTACAGTTCTGATTCAATAATTGATACATAATTCTTGTAATCCTCTTAAGAATCTTTTATTCTTATTGTTAGAGCTCTTTTAAAGCATTAATCAATTAAACAAACTCCTGAACAGTTTAATTGGAAAAGTTTCAAACTCATGCCATCCGCTTTTGTAATTCCTGAAAGAATCAAGCAAGCATGAGAGATGAAGTAATGACCTCTAGACTTGCCGTAAGAAAAGCAGGATATCCATAAAAGATTTCATTCTTTTGTAATCAGGGAGTAATTTAACAGTTTTGAAATTTTATTTGGAAAGGTTCTGAAGGAATAGTATTCCAGAAAACAGTATGTACACCATTATTGGTCATCATTCTTTATAATAAGTTCAGTGTTCAGATATCAAGATTAGATATGCCACCGGCTAGGTGGTTAGAATAGGACGTAGGTATTCAGCTTTGGTGCCGAGGACACGAGCTTTTGTGTCAGGAAAAAACTCCATGTTTGGCATGGCTGTAATACCTCCAGTGCTGCTGATTTGAATTGGATAGCGCAGCAGGTGACCCGGCAGATCTTGCTCAGGGGAATCACTTGCATACATACCCCATAACTTGTCAGCTATGGAATTGACAACTCGAACACACTGCTGACTTTCTGGAAACTGGAAACCGCTGTCAATATGTCCAAGGTGCTCCTGCCACAGTGCCATGCGGAAACCATATATTTGACCCCCGGTTGGCCGAAAAGGAGTAGCTAAATGATGGGGTTGGAATGCTCCAATTGCAATCTCAGAGTCTCTCCCGCCGTCCATTGATCTCTGGTTAATGTTGGCAGAGCCAATTATTATGTATTCATCATCCACTGCAAAGAGGAGCTAAGAAGTTAAATAATGTACAATTTCTTGAGCTGTATTTAGATTGATTAGAACAGATCATCACATACCTATCATCATCTTTGCGTGAACGTAGATCATGAAGCGCCGTGCCTGCTGAGCTCTAGCATAATCAGAATTAGGATCTGGTTGCTCTGTAGGTACATATTCTCCAGCCTTTTTTGTCTCCTTGTTCCCAAGGCAGAAAAATGTCAAATACTCCCTGGGATCTGCGTCCAACCCCTTTCTTTGAAGAGCCTCAGTAACATCAGAATACATCATCTCCATTGTTCTCCTTTGCCAATCTAAAATCGCTTGAACAGATTCACTCTCAGGTATACCTTCTGGCCACATTGGGATTACAATGTAGACAGTAAACCTTTCCCCAGCTTCAATTTTACTTACGATCTTCAGCGAGAGCTCTTTTGGTACGAGATGTAAAGCACCAATATCCGCGACCTTGATATCTTTTGATTTCCAGCCAAATGAGCTTCCGAGGAAATACTGATTTTCAATATAGATAAAATTCTTCGCACGTCGGATAGCATTGATATAAGCATCTTGGATGCTTCTATCCATGGTTCGGTCCTTTCCACTGACGAGACCTAACTTGGCCGCGGCGTCAGGTGCTTCAGGAAAGCCAGCAGCAGCCCCATCATCAATGGATCTGAATAACTGGACATTCCACGTTTCAGGGTCTGTTGATGATGTAACTGGTGACGGTTGAATCGTGATTTCATCAAGCTTGCTTTTCGGGATCAGGAAATCGGTTCCACCTTGCTTCTGCCATCTCTGCTCGAAGTTGTACAAGACGTCCCATGCAACAGGACCTTCTAGCTTGCAATGAATATCATGCCAGGGCTCCCTTGGACCACCTTTCTTGATCGAAGAGCCTGCAAAATTTGGCTGATGGAAATCTTCACGATGGGTTGTGCCTAAAGTCTTGAACAGGGGATGGTCTTGTGTATCATATCTCCCATCGCAGAGATCAATGCCGCCAACAAAACTGACGATTGCCCGCTTGCCTGATCTTTCACGAGGCAATTCGCTGTCAACAACTACAGTTTTTTGATGGTGAGTAAACATGGAAGAAATTTCAAAGCCTTGAATAGTGCTTTCTCCTTCATCAGGATTACGCGGGCACAAAACACAATGCACGTTTGTACCCTTGAAGTAATCAGCTGTCTCTTGATCATGGGTTGCCATCAAACCATCCCTTTTCAGTTCCTTAACAGAAGTTCTATCATCCCAGACAAGCATAAGAACTACCACACCTTCGTCAGCCTTCTTCTTGAGCAGTTGTCCAAGTGTCAGGTTACCTTCCGGCTTTTGCCTTCTGGGGTCTCTTATCAGCGTTATTTCAGTGTATACAGACCATCCAGTGATATATATCAAGTGTTTTGCATTATTGATCGCATCAAAGATGTCCTCCCAGCATCTGTGAGGTTGGCTAGGAGGGTTAGTGACCAATGAAAAATCGTCTTGGACATGGGCATCCTGGTATAGAGTAACCTTGCAGCCTTCTCGTTGGCTGAAGAAAGTGTAAGGAACTCCCTCAAATCCAGGATTTGAGATCCCCTGAGACCAATTCCTATCCTGGGTAACATTGAAGAACTGCAACTGAACGTGGATTTTAGAACCTCCAGGGATGGGATTATGGTTTTCATCTAAGATATCAACCCATCTGTCCACTGCAGCCCCTTGTATGACATCCTGGGCAGGAATATAAGCTCTTCCAATTAGTGTTGCCCCGATAGGATTATCATATTTGACTGTAAATATGATGTCTGAGATCAAATGCCCACAATAGATGTGGAAACTCTCATTCCAGATAGGCTCCGAGCCTTTTTTTCTTATCATTCTGGTCCGTGCAACCCTTGCTTTGTCTAGATCAACTGTTGCATAAAGTTTTGAACCAATCATCTGCATCATAATTTGGAGATGTTAAGAGAAACCATAAATCTCAGTAGGAACCATATGGTAATGAGACTGTACTACGAGTACCTCAGATTGGCATAGTATTATTCTCTTGAGTTGGGCTATGAATAGTTTCGCGATCTGCGATGGCCCAGTAGCCTCCAAAATTCAAGAAATTAAGAGTATGAATATGCATAGAATTCATGGAAAAAGTTGATTTGATTACCCTAGCATACGGCTTGGGAGGAAAAAGAAAAACACTACACACCATGAAACTGACATTCAAATCAAACCCACTCCTCATCTTAACTGGTGTACTCAATAATAGAGGGAAAAAATGCATTTGACAATAAAAAGTATTCATGCAGAACGAGATTATGATGGGTTGCAAATGGGGGCGAAGGACTGGGAGGAGAGGTTAAACATGGTTAATTATGGTGGGAGGGGAATTACTTTTGATAACCCACCTCATGGAATTCTCTGCAAATTAAACCATGCATGATGTTCCAAAAAGGAACAAAAACAGTAAAGAATCACAGATCAATTATAAATTTTCTAATCATGCATGTACCTTGCTCAAAAGACTTAATCCTCTAGGGTACTTCAGAGCATCAATCCCATATATTCTCACATTAAGCTTACCGTGGAGCAAATGGGACGCCATTGTTGACCTGCAGACACTTAGGATGTGCTAATTAAGACTTTAATGACAGATAAATTTAGATGCAAACCAAAGATTAATGAAAAGATCATCGACAAGGACTAACCGATAAGATTAACAGCCTAATCCCTCAAGAGTTCTATGGATTGGTGGAAGCATCCTGTCCAAGAAAGTGGTGTCAAATCAAGATTTATACAAGTACACAGAGAGATCTCAAGAATTCTTCCCTGATAAGAAGAATCAAGAGAAGCTGAGAAGGAGTTGTACGCAAGAGAATTTCAAGTTAGAATAAGTTCCCGCCCTTACTTCCCACAGCATATCCAAACTTTGTCATGGGTCCCAAAGCTATTCCATAGTGAGAGAAGATAAGATAGAAAATGGAACTTTTTAGGTTGGAATACATATTAGAACCAAACCTGGCTAAGTCATCCTTTGCTTGGATTGGAAACAACTATGGTTCTGGTTCTAGAATCAAATCCAAGGCAAGGGGTTCAATACAAGTATCAGGATTAAACATATAGGTGCAGCAGGAATCAAGCAATCGAACATCATCTGGAAAATTGCAACGCCTGTTTCTAAAAGGTTTAACTTGAGAGCTTTCCTGGAAATTAGACTTGCATATAATTCATTCAATCTGCTTGCTTTTGCATGCTAAATTTTCACCCATTTCTCAGTTATCAGTCTGTTCTTTTCAACAACCTAACTAGTTTTTGGAAAAGGTGATTGCAAATACTTGTTCAATAATAAGTAGGCTTGTACAATTTCCTCAGATGTTCATCTCACAAGTAGCCATAATAGAGTGGTTTTTTTTTTAACATTTTTTTTTGTTTAGTTTGAATTATTGCCTCCATCCTTTTATTATCCATTTTTTTAATCAAATTTTAATATAAAATGCATCCAGAGTCAAAGTTTTCATCCTAATCTCTACGGGGAACAAATATTTACAGACGGAGGAGTACATTAAAAGACATTAATCTTAAAACTTCATTTAGTTCGCAATTTGGGTTAAGACAAGGGAGAAAATAAATGAAACTGAAAGAAATAAATACAAAAATTTTAGGTTCTTGCATTACCATTTTTGAACCTGGAAAAGAAATTAGGGTAAAGAATATTAATCCCATGTACAAAGTTAAAGGTTTTGAATTTTGTTCATTGTATTTTCTCTTATTTTTTTCTCTATAAATTTCCTTATCTTGGAAAAAACAAGTATCCCCTTGAACCAAAAAAATATGGTTTCTTCTTTTTTTTTTTCCTTGTACAGAGGAGTATATAATGCTACTAATCGGATTAGCTTGATGCACAAAATGCCAATAGTATTTATTAAGAAGCAACCACTTAACTCCACTTGGAAGTTTCCAAGGGAGAAATGAGAATTTAAATCTTGAAAATGAGCATATATGCATTAACTTTTGAGGGTTTGTTGAATCTTTTATGTTTAAAGTTTTCTTATTTGTTGATTGGAATTGACTGCAAAGCTTTCAATTCAAGTGCCCGATTCAAGCAGCACTGTGATGAACATATTCTGCAATTTAAGACAAATATGATTGTTACAACTATTTGTCAATGGAAACAATTTTTGAACTGCTATCTTGACTGGTTAGATATGGATACTAAGTGGTAACAATTGGAGGAAGGATGTTAGATTTGCTTCCAAGGACTCGAGCATTGGTGTCAGGGAAAAACCCAGTCCCTGGAAGGGTTGAAACTGATCCATCATCCCCGACGTGAATGGGGTAGGGTAGTAGGTGACCTGGCAGATCCTGGACAAATGTTTCACTACTTGAGTACAATTTCCAGTGTTCGTCAGCAATAGAATTCACTAGCTGGACACATTTCTCGCTTTCTGGATTGTCGAAGAAGTCATGACGCCGTCCAAGATGTTCATGCCAAAGAGCCATTCGCAGACCAAAGATCTGACCCCTTGCTGGTTGCGTAGTTGCTAAATGATATGGTTGAAATGCTCCCATTGCAATCTCAGAGTCTCTTGAACCAGCCATTGACCTCTCATTGATGTTGGCAGATCCAATGATTATGTACTCATCATCAACTGGACAAGAACAAGTTACAGACTTCCCATTTATAACTTTTCAAGGGAATGAAAAATAAGCTTCAGAGATATATTTATAATAAGTTTATGACATATACCAATCATCATCTTTGAATGGACATAGATCATAAAGCGGCGTGACTGTTGAGCTCTCTCATAATCTGAATTAGGATCTGGTCGCTCTGTTGGTATATACTCTTCGGTCTTCTTTATCTGCCGGTTCCCAAGGCAGTAAAATGCCAAATACTCTCGGGGGCGTGCATTCAGCCCCTTCCTTTGAAGGGCTCCGGCGACATCAGAATACATCATCTCAATTGTCCTTCTTTGCCAATCTAAAATTGCCTGAATAGGACCACTTTCTGGTACACCTTCTGGCCACATTGGAATCACAATGTAGACAGAAAACCTCTCCCCTGCTTCAATTTTACTTGCAATCTTTAGGGATAGCTCCTTTGGTATAAGATTTAAAGCAGCAATATCAGAAATTTCCTCAATCTTGATATCCTCAGTTTTCCAACCAAAGGAGCTTCCCAGGAAATATTGATTTTCAATGTAAATAAAGTTCTTTGCTCGGCGAATTGCATTGATATAAGCATCTTGAATGCTTCGCTCAATAATGTTATTTTTCCCACTCAGAAGGCCGACCTCACTTGCAACCTCAGGTTTTTCAGGAAAGCCAACGACAGCCCCATTATCAATAGATCGAAACAACTGGACACTCCATGTGTCACTGGGATATAAAGGCACAATTTGGGTTGGGCGGACTGTCATTTTCTCAAGGTTGTCTAGCCGAAGGAGGAGATGTTTCTTCCACCGAGCTTGTCTTAGCCACCTTTGTTCAAAATTGTACAGAACATCCCAAGCAATAGGACCTTCTAGCTTGCAGTGAATATCATGCCAAGGCTCCCTCGGACCACCTTTCTTAATTGAAGAGTTTTTAAAGTTTGGTTGATGGAAATCATCATGATGAATGCCGTTCAAAGTCTGGAAGAGAGGATGGTCTTGAGTATCGTACCTCCCATCACAAAGATCAATGCCACCAATAAAACTGACAACCGTTCGCATTTCTGAGCCAGGGATTTCACCGTCAACAACTAGTGTTTTCTGATGGTGAGTAAACATAGTAGCAACTTTAATGCCCTCAACAATGCCTTTTTTATTATCAGGGTTACGAGGGCATAGAACGCAATGCACTTCCGTGTACCGAAAGAGATGAGCGGTTTCTTCATCATGGGTTGACATCAAGCCTTCCTCTTTCAGTGTGTCAATGGAAGTTCTGTCATCCCAAACAAGCAAAAGAACTCTCACGCCAGCATTAGCCTTCTTTATGAGGAGATCCCCAAGTGTATCACTTCTCCCACGCTTTTCCTTCCTTGGGTCCCTTATCAAGGTTATATTAGTGTACACAGACCAACCAGTTATATAAATGAAATGTTTTGCCTTATCGATTGCGTCAAAGATGTCTTCCCAGCATCTCTGAGGTTCATAAAGCTTCCCTCCAGATAGACTTATTTTTGGGTTGAAACCATCTGAAATATGGGCATCCTGGTAGAGGGTAACCTTGCAGCCCTCTCGCTGTCTAAAGAAAGTAAAAGGAACTCCCCCGAAGTCAGGGTATTTGATTCCCTGGGACCAATTTCCCTCCTGGCTAACACCCAAAAATCTCAACTCCACCTTGATTTTGGAATCTCCAGGTATTCGTTTACCATCTTCATCAAGTATATCAACTTCGCGTGCCACGGTATCCCCACCGAGTATATCCTTGACGGGTAAATAAGCTCTGCCAACCAGGACTGCCCCGATGGGACTGTTATCCTTAACAGTGAATATAACATTTGTGATGGAATGGGCACAATATATGCGGAAGGTCTCGTTCCACTGGGGCGAGGAGGCTTTATGTCTTACCACACTTGTCCGCCCGACCCTCGCTCTGTCTAGATCAACTGTTGCATACAGCTGTGGACCTAAGAACTGCAAGAAAACGTTTGGTTGAGGACGAGATTGTTGGCTAAAATTGATAAGTAATGCAAAGGGTAGCGAGAAGGATAAAGCAGGCATCGCACCAGTCTCTTGATTTTCGCTATAAACCTTTTCTGCAACTTGCTTACGCCCATCGTCTCCAAAGTTCCAGAAAAGAAAACAAACAAAGATAGATTGAATTCCTTTAGAAACAAAGTCCATTTATTCATGTTCATATCTTCATCATTAACAGATTGTTAATAGCGTTCATTCTCTCTAAGTTGCTCAAACATTTTTCTTTCTTACAGAGTTCGTTCATTTGGGCTATGAACAGATATGGCCTGCTGGCTTCTGGGCCTTTGGGTCCATTTTTATCAAATATTGGGCCCTTGGGTCCATTTACATGAGCCTAAAGTTTCTCTTCTAAACCTAATTAACATTTACAAATTTAAATACAGGCCCATATCTTTCTAGTTTTTCACATATTCATATCTTTTAATAAAATTTATATTTGGTTTATCCAATTGTTAGATTTCATAGTTTATTCATGTATATCAAACATATCAAATTTTGAGATAATTAAAAATATTTAACTATTTTTTTTTTAAAAAAAAAATTTCAATAATTATATATAAAAAAGACAATACTTTTAAATGATAGGATAAAAATACCAGATTGATTTAAAACTTTCCTGCATGATAGATATTAGTAAATTGTTAATATATAAAAAAGGCCAAATGTGAAATTTACCCTAAAATTTTCTTTCCTCCAAGAATTAAAGCCCCCAAGTAAGTTCCAATATTCAAATATGATAATAATTTAGTTGTAATAATTGATTAATAGACCCTAAATTGAACTCACATACCTCAATGCAGAAGTTCTCTTTACATCCATAGAGCAGCACATCAACCCCAATTATTTTTGCAATAAGTGTCCCATGCAGCAAATATGTGGGCTCCATTGTTTAACCTGCCAACTCTTATCAAATGAATTTTCAGTCAAAAACACCCACAAATATATGCATTCCTAACAAGCCAAAAACCATGGCAAAAAGGTTAACTAAGAAGCTAGCTGTGTGGCGGGCGATTGCCTAAAAGAGATGAGGCCCTCCCGGAGAGGTTTATGAAGGAAAGCACACCAAAAATATTATAAGCTTTGATATGCAGTGTGAAGAAAGAGATAATGTGCAACAAGAGGATTTGGAGTAGGAATCAATCCCAGCTTTGCTTCTCAGTAACCACTTTGCCCAAAAATCTAATATGCATGGTTTTAATATATAATATATATATATATATATATATACACACACACACACATAAATTGATATGAATAGATTAAATATTCATATGTTTTTTAGAATATTTTTCTCAAATATTGAAATTGCTTGTTTATTCATTATAAGTTGAACAAAATATGTAAGTCACAAAGAGCATGTTGCATGATTCGTGAATGAAGGCCAAAAAGAAAATATTCCCCAGATTGAGTTCAACAATGTATTCAAGTCATTCTTTGCTTGAATACTGATACATGCGAACCAAAGACAGGGAATCAAAGAAGAAAGAAAAAAAGAGGCTCCAACTTAAAAATTGGATTTTTTTTATTTAAGGAAAAAACGAGTAAATATTAACAATCTTTTTCATTTTTTTATGGGGTTTATCTTTATATGCAAAAGGGTATCCATTAGATGAAAACCCCACTTAAAATTTCAAAATTATATATGACATCTTTAAATTGATGAGTTTTTTAATGAATTTGTAAGAAATTTCGATCCGATCTATTTGTATTAGATTAGGTCACGTATCAATTATTAATATTCAATAAATTTTTATTTGATGAAAGAAAAAAAATAAAACCTAGATCCTACCGACTGTCGCTTTCACTCTTTTAGAAAGACATAACCAATAATTATACGTACCATTTGTTATCACTTTAATTAGTTACAAGATATGATAGATAAAATCATAAAAATTAAAAAATAAATAAAATATTTTTCATATAAAATTATAATCTTACCGACAACGTACCGTTGACTTGTGTGAGACACGACACATTTTTCCTTGACTCGATTTTTCTTCTCATAAAATATTATAATTATAATTAAATATTATATTTCATAAAAAAATCAATCAACAAATCAACGTATGAAATTACGACTATAACTTAAAACTTTTTTGCTTTATTTTCTTTCTCATAATTTTTTAATATGATTAAAATTATTGCAAGGTTTTTGGTTGAAATCAATGATGGGGAGTGAGCCAAAAATAATCTAACCACCACGTTGGTTTCGCCATAAATTTGCTGCACCTAAAGAGGTGACAAGAGGCAGCTTATCCCGAAGATCAAACCCCACCAATAATTAAGACGCCATCGCCTTTAACCTATTGGCCAATGGGAAAGATGGGAGACCCAGGATAAGTAAAGTACAGCTTTGCTGCATTGTCTAAAAGCATATAATTGAATGACTTTTAACCCCATTTTTTTAATTATTTTTTTTCTTTAATATGTTCACATTTCAAAGGCTAATTTATTTCAAGTTATAATGGGAAATTCCACCAATGGGAACGTTGTAGACATTAGGTGTGATTGAAAAATAGATAGGGTTGATGATAATTGACCCTTTTTACGGCCTAAAGTGATTGAAATAATTTAACTTTCAAATTAACATTGGAATGATATTTAATTAGATTCACATTGATCTTTACCTACTCGATTATTTGAACTTTTAAGTTATGGGTATTTAAATTTTTCTATTTTTTTTTTCACTTGATTATCGATATTAGGGTAAAATGTTGAACAATGTGGAATTTAGTAATAGTTACTCATTTCCTTTTATTATATTTGTATTTTTTATTGATTTTTTGTTAAATAAATTCAATTTTAATAATTATTTTTTAAATTTATATACATTTTAAAAACTAACAATCAAAATTAAAGTAATTTGATTAAAAAAATCAAATATAAACAAAAAAAATGAGATGAAAAGAGTATAAAAAAGAAACATAGAATCAGCACAATTGTAAGATTTAGGATGGTTTTGATTTGATATATATATATATATATTCTGAGGTGGTGGTGGCAGCACTTTGGCCACTTAATCTTGTGGTCATGGACCTGATGAGTTTTCATTCAATCCTAGAGTGGAAAAAAGGGGGAAAGAAGGAAAAAGAAGTAGAAACTTTGTACAAATTGGTTAGCCTCTATCTTGTTTTCAGGTCATTACTTTCTCATTATACCTCGGAAAAAGTTGAAGACTATAGGAGAGAGTTAATTCAAGTTAAAGACGCCCGGATAAATGATGAATATTCAATGAAATTGACAGGGCAAGGAAGATGGCAGAGAAGGTTGTGTTTGTGCATACATTCTGAGAAAGCCCAGAGAAAGTTTTTAATGGCTCAAGGCCCTGGAAAGACCTGCCCTGCCGTCTCATCAAGCCCTCGCTGCGGGTGTAAAAGTGAAAAAGCCAGCCAAAAAACTGCAAAGATCAGCCAAGCGAACTTTATGTGCTGCTTTCAATCTTTTCCCACTAATGGCAAATGACTTTTTTGCCAGAAAATCACAAAGTCGGCTCAGTAATCAACTACCCATATTAGATTCCTATTAATATGCCAACCCAAAAGTTGGAAACTCCCGTGCCAATGCAAAACTCGAGAGCACACCTAATCAATAATTGACTGATCAGCCAGAGAAAAAAATAATTAACCCTTCTTTTGATTCACATTTCTTTCATCCAACTGAACTAAACCCTTGAACTGCAATTGCACAGGAGTAGAAGCAAAAGCAGGCTTCGCCATAATATGTGTTTCGACTTGGAAAGCTGATCTGCCAACTTTTATTCCAAAAGCATACAGGAAATGCATGCATTCCCCTGGAAGAAAAGATTAAGCATTAAGAATTTTTTTTTAAAAAAAGAAAAACAGACTGATGTTTTTCGTTGATGGAAATTGTTGTTGATATCACTTTTGGGTTTTGTTTTTCTTTTCCAAATAAGTGGATGATCTGGCTAGAGTAGTGAACACTATTATTACTAGAACCTTTTCCCTTTGAGAAGTGAGGATTGTCAACATGTTATTCATTTATTCTTTGTGGTTGCGAAACTAGTTCTATGATGGCATGTGTAGGTGAAATCTTTATTGCAGCAAGTACTAATTACTTGGACTTTCCACTCAATCCACCGACAGCTCATGTAATAATTTTCCTTCTCATACGGCACACATAGAGCCACCCTTTCATTTTTCCTCTTAAAACTGCACCTTACTCACCGCTTCATATTTATGATTTCTGCAGTTCTCATAAGTCTTTCTCCTCAGGAAACATGGTACAAACAAGGAAGTTCAGAGGTGTCCGGCAGCGACAGTGGGGCTCTTGGGTATCAGAGATTCGCCACCCTTTACTGTAAGCTCACCCACTTACTTTATTACACCAATTCTTATGAAATATTTAACTATCTTTTCTATATATAAGAACTCCCTCCCTCCCTCTTTCTCTTTTTATATAACATTACTAACATATGTCAGCCCGGTTACATACTCTGATTCGGTTATGTTTGATGAACAGGAAGAGAAGGGTATGGCTAGGCACATTCGAGACGGCTGAGGCTGCGGCAAGAGCATACGACCAGGCTGCCATTTTGATGAATGGACAAAATGCCAAGACCAATTTTCCTGTAGCAAAGACTGATCAACCTGGTGACACAAATGCTCGCGGTGATGACTCTCCATTGCCTCCCAAGGCCCTCTCCGAGCTCCTGAATGCGAAGCTCAGGAAGTGTTGCAAAGACCAATCACCTTCTCTCACTTGCCTGAGGCTTGACACTGATAATTCTCATATTGGAGTCTGGCAAAAACGCGCAGGCACTCGTTCAAGCTCCAACTGGGTCATGAGGGTTGAGCTAGGGAATAAGAAGGCGCCGGCGTTATTGGAAGATGGATCAGCATTGACATCAGGGTCAGGGTCGTCGTCTCCTATGGCAAACGAGATTGAAGCTAGAAGTGTAATGGGAGAAGAGGATAGGATTGCAATGCAGATGATAGAAGAACTACTCAACTGGAATTGCCCTATGACTTCAAGCTCAGGTGGAGTTTAGAATAGACATAATCCTTAATATAGCATGTGTACATCCCTCTGCAAAACTACTCAAGTCCTTTTCATTTTACCTTTCCTGGTCAGAAAATCATTCTCACTGTAAAACTGGTGCAACAATATGCAGTATCTTACCTGGTAATTGTGAAATTTACTTTATGAAACAAATATAGATCAGCACCTACACAGCTATTTAACCTACTAATCCAAGCTTCAATGTCAGTTATGTGTTATATTTTCGTAAGCCTGAAGCAAGTTCCTGGTTCTGGACCATGGATTAGCCATATGTCTGATATGCAGCAAATTGATCATTACTAGTTTGATTTATTAATAACTTTTTTGGTTCTAAATTAGAGAAACCTTGTTACCAAAAACAAATTTGGTTTCCTGAGGAATGCTACTTGCATACATATCATGTATACACATACGTACCTAAAAATCATTACAAGCATATAGACCTGTGTGAGATTTGATGCTTTATCTAGTAAATAGTATTAATTAATCTCTAATTCAAGATTTGATGCTTTATCTATTGTCAATATCCTTCCTGCCAAGAGAGGAAGAATAATCAAAGGGGATGCTACCCTTTTTATTTTTTCCTCCATTTTTGGTGGATAAAAGAGGATTCAATACATATATAAATCTTGACTCCTGATGATTTTGTCTATATTCTCTTCCTAAACTAGTGACACATTTCCTGTTCTTGATCACCCAATTTCAAATAATTTATGTCATGTCAAGCTCTCCTCATGCCCTACATATTTGCTGCTACTAGTTGTCTGTCGTAATATATTAAACAACATGGTCCCTCTAGTAGTCCAATCCAACTTTATTTTGTTTTCCCTTCCTTCTTTCTTTCCTTCATCATGAACATGAGCAGATATGAATTGAAATTGGTATCTTCCACACAAGATTCCAACCTCACTTTATTAAAAGAAACCCACCATAGGTTTATAGCATGAAAAGTATAATTTCAGAATTCTTTTAACTTATAGCAATTGCCCCCTTGAAAGGCGCATTTAAATAAAAGCAAAATTTTGACTATGGGGAAAAAGAAACACAGAAATATGTAGTATTAAGATATAT